TGTCCAAAACAGAACTTAAAAAAAAATCTACATATTTGGGTTAAAGCCAAGCTTTTGATGTAAAATGAATTAAAATGACCAAAATCACTGTGTCCTTTTACTCATACTCAATACACTGTATTATTATGTGCTGTGAATATTGATACCAGAGCTGTCATAGCATTAATGTTAATCACTAAAGTGAAGTATAAATCCTATTTTTTAAAAACACTTTTGTAGAGGTTAGAGTATCAATATCAACTTAAGTTTTTTACTGAAGTAAAAGTGTAAAAGTACCATTTTTAAAAGTACTAAAAGTGTAACAGTTAAAGTAATGCAGGAAAAAAATGTTAGGAGCAGAAGCTTTAAACTTTATACTAGTTACTGCACTACCCTATTAAAGGAACAGTTTCTACAATTCTGGATGATAACTTCCTTATACTTAATTTTCTTAGTTTTATAACTAATGGTAGAGGTGTCAAATTTAACTTTGCATCATCTTAAAAAACAATTTATTTTGGTATGTGGTGAACAACAAGTTGTGACAGCACCAATTCCAACCACAAAGAAATTAACTGTCTTGATGAAACTCATTATTTTGATGGTTTTTAATTTTTTTAGATACCTACAGGCCATAACGAAAATCAGCTTAAATGAAACAAAACTAATGAGTCAATTTTTAAAATGTAAGGAGTGAAAAGTACAGATAATAATAAAAAAAAAATGTAAGGAGCGTAAAAAGTTATCTAAAAAATAATTATCTCTAGTAAATTATAGATAGCCAAAATTTATACTTAATTAAGGTAATAAAATATTTGTACTTTCTTACTTTACACCTTTGATTGATACAACATTTTCACATTGATGTTCTAGGATATTAATGAAAAAGAAGGTAGCTTTTGGAGTAGCTCTGTACCAGTTTTGCGGCCTAGTGGTTAGGGCATAGACCTTGGAATCCTGAGGTTCTCAGTTTGAGCCGCACTTCCACAGACTTCCACTCTGGGTCCCTGGGCAAGTCCCCTAACCCCACACTAATCCCCAGGCGCCGCACAGTGGCAGCCCACTGCTCTCCAAGGGGATGGGTTAAATGCAGATATACATTTCTCCAATGTGAGATCAATAAAGTTTAATTATTATCGTATTTATTTATCTTACATTTCTGTTTCTTTTGAAAGATTTTTTGCAATATAACATTTGTTCCTTAAAATTTGTTAAACCATTGTTATATTATGTAAGAAGGAAGGCAGCCTTTTGTTTTGCTCTGTTGAAAACAGAGCTGCTGATTGACTTTTAAAAGCTCAAATAATACCTAAACTGTAACCCAAAATCCTGATTAAGTTCGAGAGAAGAGGGACATTCATTGACATCCATCAGATCGATCATAATGGAGATGTGAGCCACCCAGGGTTATGGGAATGCAGTATGTAGTGTAGCTTCTCCTTTTCAGTGATTTTTTCTGTTAACTTTATAACTTCATCTACCAGATAGGTAAACATTTATCAACAAGTTTCTGGCTAAAGTTACTCTATAATAATGATTATGCCTAAAACCAACTCTCAAACTTGTTAAAAAAAAAAATAATAATTCAAAGGGAGCATAAAATTCATTCAAGGCATAAAACAATAAAATCTGTAGCATTTTGTTTTAATCAGTATCAAAGCAGATAATTAAAATAATTTTCTATAATCTACTCACTCCACTGTAGGATATATGGTTCTCAGACCAATAAAAAAAAAATTCCATCAGCAGAGGTTTGCTTAGAGTGACAAAAACATTTGCTTAAAAAAGGTATTCAAGTACTGATACACTAAGACACCCTCCAAATAATTAAACCCAGATGATCCAGAGGTGTGTAAAATCGAACCCAAAGGCATGCAAACTGATTCAGAGTTTTGAGGGAATGGATGTTCTTAGGAGCTCGATAAAAAACTAGCATGACCTTATGATGCAATGTCACCAGTGACATAGGTCCAGTTGTAATATTTTGCTACTGAAGATTTCACAGTCAATTGTTAGCTGTAATACTGTACAAATGGAAACAACCAGAAGTGAAAGTAACTCAACAATAATGGAGGTAATAATTTTAAATGAGTAAGCTTGGCCAGCAGATGTTAAAAAGCCTAGAGCAGTGTTTCCAAACCTTTTTTTTTACTTGTGTACCGCTTTGGGCATTTTATCCTACCATGAGTACCCCTTAGTAAAAAGTATTGAGGATTGTCCAAAAGTGGAAATTACAAAAAATAATTATAAAAAAATTTTTTTACTTGAGCATTTCATTCTTTGGCATTTATTCTTACCAATTCAAATAAAAAAACAACATAAATATGCTGCCCGTAAAATAGCAAGTAAATCAAACTAAATACAAAATAAAATCATATTATAAATCTGCCTTTATAAAACAGGAGCTCCTCTGAGTAACTCACCTATAATCATATTAAAAACTTGAGGAATTGGGAATAAAATACTGAACAAAAATTATAGTCAGAGTCTACATTTTTTTTTAAGTTGTGTTCATCATTCATGACGCATGAGCTGCATTGATGAGCTCTGATAGCTCAGGTGTGGAAAAACAGCTGATCCCAGGCTGTTCTCTACAAAAACATACTTTTGGTTAAAAGAGCTTGTTTAGATCCCAGTCAAACCCTATTTTATCTTATTACCTGAGAAAAAAAATAATTTAATGTACCCCTTGCAATGCACTCGCTGATCACTACCACCAGTGGCCTGCGAATCACTGGCCTAGACGACAGAGAATTTATTCTCTCCAATACAGTGGTAATGATTTTTCTGGAGTAACAAACCCACCACTCTGTCTGGCAATCCACTGAATTAATCTGCACTATGGCAGTTGTAAGTTTAGTGCATAATGGATTATTATGAAGTGTAATTGATTTCTAGGAGTTGGATTTGGACCCTAAGGTCCACATCATATATGACACATTGGTAATACTAGCCCTAATACCCTTGGGATCAATTACTAAAGACACTTCTTCATCCTTTTCTTTGGCCTTTTCATCCAACATCTACCTCACAAATAGTGTTCTGGAAAATTTGTCATTAGTAAATAGACTCCTAAACTGTGTGGAAAGGTTTTCCAGAAGCATTGAAGCACTTATAGCTGCAAATGTTGCAAATCACAAAACCCTATGGATAATAAATGGGATGTCAATGTTAGTTTTATGTGTTTTGGATCAAGCAGGGGTGCTAATTTGTCATTTTTTCTACTTGTATAAACACTAATAGATTATAACTTGATATTCAATTGGTGTAAACAATCCAAAGCAAAATAAATAGAGTTACAGTGTAGTGCATAATTGTTAGATAACACCAACTGAATTAAATATGTGAAGATCTAAATACTTAACTGAGGTAAAAAAAACAAAAAAAAAAAAAAACATTTACAAATTGGTTTGTTTACTGTTAGAAATTGAAGGACAACATTTTTACTTCTAGGTAAAAATTAGGGTAAAAAAAACAAAAGGGTTGACTGACGCAGAGCTAGAGCTGATTCTTACATAAAGTTTAATATTTCACTGGTTTGTTTTTGTCAGATTCTCTGTAAATCTTGGTTTTAATAATAAGACTAACTCAATGAAGGTGCACATGGTCTAAGAATTTCCTGTGTTACATGATGATGGATAGAGAAAGACTTTGTTCTTTTCTTAAAGATTTAAAAGTGGCTGTGTTGAAAAGCAGAAAAACATATAATCCAAAACAGAAAAAAGAATGGAACTTCAGAAGCGAATGAAAGCTCTCCAACAAGATTACCCACAGCTCATTGCTCTTTATTTATGAGATCATTGTGTGTCAATCAAACAAGCAGGCCCGTCTAAGCCTGGCGTACCAGGCTTGCTAATAATATCGATGCCTCGTCAAAAAGCTGCCTGGCTGAGTCCTACTAACAGAGCTCAGCTGTCCTGTTGCGTATTAGTTCCAGCGATTTGTCTCTGCTGCGCTGACAGGGAGAGACAGCCAAAGAGGGAAACCGTGAGGGTGACTGTGAGTGATGGCTGTTAGATAGCTATGCACGACAAGCCTCATTCCAACGAAGTTCTGACACATAGAGATAATGATTCGCACACGTGCTGGACCAGCAAGCCCACACAGGGGCAAACAACACAAACTCACACATAGAATGTGCACACATGGGCCCACAAAGCTGCCTTTGTTGACTACTGGCAGCCTCTTAGTCAGTGCTAACTGTATGTAGAACGCATATTCTCTAATGTGTGCGTGTATACTTGTGTTGTTTGTCTGACACAGTTAAAAACCCTTTCCCTTTAATACAAGAGTCATGGTTTACCTGATGATGAGCGTGCATCCAGAACAAGAATCATATATTTATATTTAATGCTGCATGGTTATATTACTGTGGAAGCATGCTGTGGTTGCATGCAGGTGTCTTCCTTAGAGGTGATGGTTATAGGGAGGAGATTCTCATTGATCCCTTAATACCCTACTTGAGGCAAAGAGAGCTGTAGAGCAGAGGCTGTGGGAAAACGTTTAGTTTGGAGAGCAAAATGAAAGAAAAAAGAAGATAACAGGTGTGTAGGCGATAAAAGACCAGTAGACAGGGGATGAACGAAAACGATAAGAGGCAGAGGTGGTGACAGAAACGAGCCTAGTGGCGGCATAAAAACAGACACAACAAGACACCCAAGCTGCTGGACAGATTAGGAAAGGTGTGTTTATACCTGTCCTTGTGTGGTCTGTCTGTCATGGGTAAGGCCATTGGGTTTTTTTTGTTTTTAGAAGTTGGGGGAAGATGAGCCTCGTGAGAGAGTACAAGAAAGGATAGTAAAATGGGAGGTGGGATGATGCAACTGGGAGACAAAACAGGAGAGTTGAAAGGAAAAAGGTCATAAATTTTCACAAGGACCGGCAAATAAAACCTCCACCCTTGCTTTTTTTAACCACAAATGGGATGCAAGCATGTATTTCAGAAAACGCCCAGACCTCAGAGTCCAGTTCTCTCATAACTCCATCCCAACTGACCAATGACACCACGCTGTGTAGGAAACGTAGTATTTATTCTCTCTCAAGTTACAATACAGTATTATCACACAGGGACAAATAAATAAACATTTCTGCTTAATAAATAATGGCAATGTGATCCATAACCTTTGGCCATGACAGCACACATTTCAAACACATGACGACAAATTTATTCTGAAAACAAAATGTTTTAACTTGCTTGGAGGGAAAGCTCAGAGTGGTTAAAGTTAAGGAATGTGAAAGCAACTTCCAGCACTACTTCAAGATTTTGAAAAGCAAATAGTAGAGTGTTGAACATGTCTTGAACGTGCTGTCAAAACACCAGGCACAAACATGTGTCTTAAGAGATCCAAACCAAAGGCTTAATGCAGACCCAAGGCACTGAGTTCACCGAATTGCTTCAGAGTTTTCTTTCCAGCATATGGTTTAAATACTTTAGCTGTGTAAACCTGAAGGTGCTTCAGGGCAAAATTGATCAAATGCAATTCCTTTTGAACTTATAGGCCATTACAAATATAAATAGGTAATTTAAGGCAGGTTTTATTAGTAATATTAGTGTGATTCATTCACTGCACCGACCTTAAAAAGTCATCACCTTATTTTCTACATTTGTACACAAAGAAATTATACATTAACAGTTTGGGGTTTTAGAGCAAAGCTGGAGCTTTCCTGTGCATTCATCATTTCCCTCTGTAACTGTAGGCCTATGCAAAATTGAATTTGGGGTTGGCTAACAGGTTAACAGCTATAAAGGGAAACAGAAAGGTTAATACATTTTTTGAAAAGATGATGGCACAAGCTAAGGAGCACTACAAGTTTATTTACCATAGTTGGAAGGTTAAAATATATCCCATGTCTCTGTTTAATATTGGCCTGTTTACAGTTAAACTAAGCTAAGCTGCTTGCATTCGACTTGCACTCAGAAATCAGAATTGAAGACTAAAAATCCCAACTGGATTTCATGGAGAAAAAAAAAACAACAACTGGATTTCCCTCTTAAAGCTGGACTTTTCCTTTAAGAAGTTGACTCCCTTGCAATCAAAATCAAATAAACATATGCTGAGCCTCCGTTCCATGCAGGATCGGCAGGTTCTGTAACAGCTCTTTCCCCACTGCCATCAGACTGCTGAACTGTTGAAAAAACTCTAAATCAAGTCACAAATCTTCTACTGCATTTTTTCACCATATATATTTTATTTTTGCACTGCTCTGAACTTCCACATCAATGCCTCTTTGCGCCATTTCTCTCCTACACTGTTTACATTTGATCACTTCTCAACTTTATGAATGGAAATGTTCATTTCACTGCTAAGCTGCTGCACGTTCACTGTTGGAAAGCTGTATAAATGAAATTGGACTAAACAAAATGACAATAAAGTTAGTCTAAGTCATATAAAAGGAGTTGTAGATAGTAAGAAACTGAAGTTAGTCTGCAGAGCTTTTCTCTATCGGACCTGTGCCAACAGCATCTAAGGTACAGGAATATGGTAAATCCAGGCTTTGACATCAGATAAAAATACAAATAAATAAAGATTTATCTTTTTTTAGGTCATCTGGAGATTTTACCAGTACTATTTGTAACTGGTAGCCCTCGCTAGCTCCACAGACATGCATCAGTACGGTTTGTCGAGGTGACTGTGAGGAAATTACAATCCTCTACAACAATGGAATCGATGCCTTAGGTTGTCTATCCTCATGTCCTGGACATGTTCTAAAACTCAGCATTACATTTCTAATTGGTTAAGCTAATGTACACAGAAGCTGTCCAAGAGTTACTGAATTATCCACTTTTTTACTTTCTCATGTGCATAAACGTGATCTGATATAAAAGATTTGGTGCTACAGTTTTTAAATAAATATGTGCAGAATAATGTACTGTAGCCTTGGAAAAAAGATAATGTCAATTTTCTTATGTAATAAGAAGGGCAAACCTTAATTACATGATCTCAAATCCATCCCAGTGTCTGTTAAATAAAAAACAAAATCTCTGAAAGGCTATGAGTAAAGAAACAGGGTTGTTTTACCAGAAATGTATTACAGAACCGTTAGTATGATACAAACTATTATCTTTCAGAATGACTATAGACTTGATTTCCTTGCTATATTTCAGATCTGAAACGCAAAGTTTATGTTACGTTAATAAATTGTTGCAAAGAAATACTTCCATTGACAATGTCTATATTTGTTATTTGGGAGAAGTGTTTTTTTATTATTAAAAAAATGATGTAATTTTAACAAAATACACCTGGTCTGCACTAGGCTCTTGATATTCACCACAGACAGGTTTTTAGCATGTATTGATAGTAGTAGTGAGCTCGGTTAGTGAACATAAATATTCACTGGTTTTACATCTTACCACTGGTGAGCTATCATTCTGAGGTCTAGGCTCTGGCTTCTTGGGCCAATAAAACACAGTTTCTATGTTGCATTGATAGTATATATGTCATTATGGGGAAAACGTCTAGACTTTTTTAGAACATAAAGCGCAGACACTGCAGAGATGCATTAAATACATGTAGATTTTCAGGCTCAGAAAATCTAGAGATGATTAAAAGTGGTGATATCTGTGAAGATTGAGGTCTACATTGTAGAACCCAAACCTAAACCAGCAGAAAAATGGATTTTACCGCTCTGCTTGGATTATATGTGTAACTCTTGTAGGGTTACAGTAAATGACATTTTGCTCAGTAATTACTCAGCAATACCCCTCTGTTGGTTAGTACAAGTGATCACTCCCTGACTCATGTCTTCTCTCTGCCTCGAACATCCTTTTGGGCATTTTCCTTCTCTCTTTTCTTTTGCCCTTTCATATTTTTTTCCTTCTTCCTTTAGAGAAAATGAACTTTTGCTGATTCACACATGTGAGGTCACTGAATCAGTTAATGTTCAATGGCTGCACTGTCTGTCTTGCTGCCGCTCACCCGGCCGGGCTGAGTCTGTGTTGTTCGAGCCTAACCACCTACAGCGGTTTTCCTGTTGATCTATGAGCTGTGAAGTCCAGTAACTCAGACTCAGCCTCAGTGAGTTTATCTCAATGACCTCCTATGTGCGGTCAGAACAGTCTTGTCATGGCTTTGTGTGCTTTATGTTCCAGTAGCAGGACTGGTGACCAGCCAAAAACAGTCTTTTATCCACTGTTTCCAGTATGGGATGAATGGAAGGGTTCAGTATAGTTGTGGTAATGTGCTCAGATATCTCAGTTGACCTCCTCTCAGACTTTGTAAAAAAAAAAAATTTCCGCCTTGCTGTACTTTTACGAGTCTTTGTCTCCTTGTCCAGTCTCCTCTAAATGTCTCAACCTCTTAGTCTCTTCTTGAGACGGTTAAAGTCCTTGGCTGATCTCCACAACCAGCTCTGCAATTCTCGCAGGATCCAAAATCCCTCCACCTTCCTTGCAAAATCATTCATTGTTGGCCGCACCGGTAGGAGCGATGAGGAGGTGGAGGTGGAAGAAGAGAGCAGTGGACTTAATGGAGGGGAGAGAAGGGAGGTGCCCCTCTGTAAAGACAACGGGACAGGCTGGGGTAGAAGGGTGTGCTCCTCACCTACTCCAATCTGGTACAGAAGGGAGAGAGTAGAGAGTGGAGGTGGGAGGGTGGGGTAGAGAAGAGAGCGAGGACGCCTGTGGTGCTGATTAAAGGAGGAAGAGGAGGTTGAATCCATATCTGCGGTGTTTTCCTCCTTCATGACAAATTTTCTGTTGGTTTCTAATAAAAATCCATCTTCTCTGAGGGTGTCTCTGTAATCTGAATTCAGACTGAAGCTGTATTGATTGCTGTTTGTATGTTGATGGTCTCTGGTTTCATCTGCATCCTGATAAGACACTTCAACTCTGATTTTAGGCTCCCCGTATCTCTTATCTTCAATGTCTTCTATACTCAACAACCTTCTCCTTGTCCCTAAGCTTTTCATCTCTCTGTTTAGCTCCTCTACTATTTCTACTTGCTCTTGCCTGTCCTCTCTTCTCACTCTTTCTCCTCTTCCCTTCTCCCTCAGTCCACTGCTACGCCCTGAAGCCACGGCTGACTCCGCTCTTTTCCCTGCTCGCCCTCTTCTTCTATCCATCAGCTCGCCTCCTTCCCTCTCTCCTCTGATAGTCTTTATTCGACTTCTTCTCTGGCTGCCACGCTGACTGGGTTCTGTTCTTGATCCAGCTCTGGATCTGTACAGGCTCTGGCTCATAAGAGGAGCTGGATGGTTGCCCCCTGCCCCCCTCTGTGCATAGTGGAGCTCACCAGCTGTACCTTGTGGGGAAGACGAATAACCGAGGGAGTTCATCAGTGCAGAAATTGAGCCCAGCAGTCCATCCAGACCTGTGCAAAAGTGCAAGAGGGATGTTTTGAGGGAGGGGCAGAGAGTGGAGCGGGCCAGCTCCCTGACAGCAGTCAGCAGGATAGAGTAGGCCCTCTGGTTCTGTGCAAGACGGGCTTGATTCTCTAAGCCATGCCACAGCTCTAGTCGGGTGGCAGCACTCGGTAAAGCTAGAGCAGTACTGTTGGGTCGAGGAGGGGAGAAGTCTTTCTCATTGAACGGTGGGCCCAGATATGTCAGCTGGAGAGAAAAAAAAAGAGAGAAATAGATGTTTAAGAAACATTCTATTACAAAATATTTTCCTTAGCAGGTTCAATGAAACATTAAGTGCATTTGTGATCAAGCAAAAAAGACATTGATAGAACATTTAACACACTTTGTTTACGTCGCTTAATTCAACAGTTAAATCAAAGGTGATCAATTGAGTCATTTTCCTGAGAACGCATGTGAACAATGCTTATTATATACACAAAAAACATCTGAACAGCAGCTTAAGAACAGTGATGAGTGACGGTGACTCTACAGTACAACCTTGTTTTCTCCCCATACAAAGTTTAAAAATGGTTGGGGTAACCACAGTGTTTCATTAAAGAAATCTGCCCGATTTGGATTAACTGAGTTCTGCTGACACATTCCCATATCTCAGCCTTTGGGCCAATCTTGAAATATTCCAATTAAGAGCCGTTAAATTGCTTGTGCAGTTTTTTTTCTTTCTCCCGTGTAATGAATGGGTGTGTTGTTGGTAATCTGCAAAGATTGCTGCGCAAATGTTAAGACGACGAAACTGGTTTGGTTCCACCAATTAAAATGAACAGATTGCGTGTTGTACAGGCAGTTTGAAAATTTACATAAAAAAACATGATTTAAAGCCTTGAAGATGGAGGAAATAAAGATGATTATAAAAAATGTAGTGATGGTAATGCTAAATAATATTTATAGTGAACTTAAAGGGGCTGAGAGCAAAATATAAGTATAATGATGAAAATAACTGAGGTTAAAGTTAAATGTAAAAAAAATATAAAACATGGAAGGTTATCTTTGTCCGATGACCGACATTCCGAATATGTTTACATGGCCACAGAATCCCTCTCAATCATCTCTCTTTGAACCATTACCTCTTTTCAGGCCACAACGTCCACAAATATTTTTGCGAGTCAATTTGCATCTGAATTTTAAAAGTAATAAAAAAGGCATTTTTAAAACTGTGGCCTGTGTTGACTTTCAGATCACTTTGCATGTGGTAAATATTTACATTTACATATCCTCCACCCATGACTGCGCATTTTGGACATCAGAATATGATCTGCATATTGATGAAGGCACCCATGCAAAAATGTTTTTTTTGTCTGCTGAATTGCAAATCCAAATAACTTTGCACCTTCTTTAAAGATCTGCTCTGACTATACGAAAACCTTTACACCTGTTTTAAAACATGCCAACCTTTAGACCCTTGGAGTATAAACAGAACAACATTTCAACAGCTGTGAGAAAATATTCTTAAAGTTGGAAGTAAAAAAAGAAACAAAGAAAAGCTGTCCATAAGTAAAGTACAGGTAAAATTATAGAATTCTCTATCTGAAAAAAATCTTGTCTTGAATACTCCATAAAGAGAAGAGGATTTATAATTGATAAAAATAAAAAATACATTCAAAAGGATAGACCTTTTTGTATACCCACTGAGGACTTTTTTGTGTCCCAAGTGAGTGAATAGTTAGTCGAAGACTGTGCAGGAACATGTATATGTAAATACAAAAAAAGAAACTCATTCTACTTTGCAGGTAGAGGTTTATTCCTATAAAGAGCCTGAGCAATGTTACTTCAGTCCAGTTTGTTGTTAAGGTAAATACCAAGACAGAGTCCACAATCTCAACATCAACTCCCAGAATGTTCACCATGTGGTAGATCCACGTCAGCAGAAATCCACCAGCTCCTATGTTTTCCCTTTGTTGAGCAGATGATGGTTCTGCTGGCACCAGTCCACAAAGTTCTGTATCCACTGTTTGAACTATATGTTAAGCTGATTATGGCAGAGCTATCTGAGAATTTCTGAAGATGCAAACTGGTGGATTGATGAAAAAGTCTGCAGAGTAGAGGGTAAACAGGAACGGTGTCAGCACTGTTCCCTGTAAGGCCCCCATGTTGCAAACCGACCTGTCAAATATACAGCCCTGATTCTACACATACTGCGGGCGGCCAGTGAGGTAATCCGGTATCCACTGGGGCAGATGGTGGTCCATTCCTAACCATTCCTGCTTGTCCCTTAGAAGCTCCATAGTATTGAAAACACTGAACAATTCAAAGAACACGATCCTCAAGGTACTTCCAGTCTTCTCCAGGTGGGTCAGAGCTTGATGCAGGACAGATGATGGCATCATTGACCCTGATGCCAGGCTGTTAGGCAAACTGCAGTGGATAAAATGAAGACCTCACTACAGGAAAAAGATGGTTAACAACCAACCCTTTGAGGGTCTCCATCCGATGTGAGGTCATTGCTACCAGACAGTGACACTGATACCAGACAGTAAGTCTTAGCGGGAGTTTACACCTAAAATCAGAGCTTCCAACTCATTCTTACTCCCAGCTCGTCAAATATTGACGCTCAGTCAAGCACCTGTCGTGTCATTAAGTGGCACAATTGGGTTACTCTCGTCAATTATTGACACGCAGGGTGCATGGTAGGTTGCGGCAGGAATTTGCGAAATCTTTGATAAATTGCAAAGAAAAAAGTAGCACTAACCCATCCCTAACTCCTACCCTAACCCCTACACATAAGGAAAATCTAGTATAGGTTTTACCATACATTTCTAAACCTACTCTCAATAAAAGTAAAACTAAGGCTAAAATAAAAGAAAAGGGTTGAGGGTCACGTGCACCCTAGGAGTCAGTATGTACATATGTGTGTGTGTGTGTGTGTGTGTGTGTGTGTGTGTGTGTGTGTGTGTGTTTAGGTAAGATGTTTTTGTCATGGTTTGACATCATTATTAAAAGTTTCTGATCCACCTTCAAGAGTGTATTTTTATACATTACTTAAGTCCAGCTTATTTTAATCGTTTTCGACTGCTAGTAAGTTTGAGTTTCAGTCCGGCTAAATGTAATAAAGTTAAACTCCAAGTTTTATGAAAAGTGAGCTTAGTACTAATGTTGTATGTCAGCGAATGGAAAGAACTGGGAAGTATTACTCACGTATACATCTTTGATTTCTTTGAGCTGGTACTCCAGGTATTTGGTCAGCTCATATGTGCTTTCGATCGAGCTTCTCTCACTGGCCAGGATGTGGGAAGGATCCATAGCCGCTGCCACGTTAGCAGCCAGCAGCACTGTGAGCAGCTGACAGACTGTAGAGGGAAAAGATTAAAGATTGATTAAAACTGGGGCAATTAGAGATGTTTCTATAATGACGTGCATGTCCAAATGTTAGCACGCACAGCAGAGCTGTTGGTTATAAAACCAAAGATGCAGAATTTTATTTCAGCTATTATTTTCTCAGATGTTCTTTGATTATTTATTCTGGAAGCTGAGCTTTGTAATAATTTTAATGACCAAATGGATGAAAATAACCAGCCTATTTGCTGGAATAACAAAAAAAGAAATACTCTGATTTAGTTCTTTGTTCCCTCGTTACCTCACCCCACCTATAAAGCGTTTGCCATTTCCAATCTCATTTCAGAAAACATTGGCTGTTAAAGGTTTACTCTGGCTTTAAATTAAGCCTTGCTTAACAGCTTTAGACAGTTGGACAAATGGCTGCTATGTTACGAGTTCACACACATGTTCACACGTATGTTCACAGTTCATTCTACACAAAATCCCCCCAAAAACAAAGACATCTGGCTTTTTTTTACCATTCCAAACATCATGGTGTTTGCATCAGCGGTGCCTTTGCTGCAGCCTTCTTGTTTAGGTTTTAGCCTGTTTGTGTAGATGTATGTTACAATGTGAGTGTTTGTAGCAAACACCATGTATGTGAATTCAATTTTCACTGCTGACAATGTATACAGTGTTGTTGTGTGTGTTTGAGGAAAAGACGAAAAGGGGGGAGGGTGGGGGGGTGGGTAACACCGGAAACCTTTCATAGCCCAAATCTCTAACTGAGAAAATTGGAGCTGAAAGGTTCATTTTGAAAAAGTGAGGGGCTTCATGTACGTCTGCCTCTCCTTTTTGCTGCACTCGTCGGATGCTTTCACTTTTCTCTCCGTTAAATTTTTCCAAACTCAGAACTTTCTTCCTCTCCCTGTGCTCTGACATCCTTTTACATCCTCTCGGCGCTCCCTTTCATCCTCTCGTTACCCAGACAGAAAGTCATGATTCATACTTGTGAAACGTGCTGCTGTTCACTAGGTGTGAAAAGTGCATTGCACAATATCACCTCCATCCAGCTCAGACACACCTCAGTCAGCCCTCCTGTTGCCCCACCAATTCATTCCCTTTCTCCATCTAAATTAGTCACAGTGTACTTAAGCCTTCCTCTCTCCCCCTCTCCAGTTTCTCCACCATCTCCTTTCTGCCTCCGGTTAGAAAAAGAGAAAACAGCAGTCAATTAACCCTGATTAGCTCTCCCGCTCCTTCGCGTTTCTTTCTTTCATCCTCTATGGTGGACCCCACAAGAAGAACGAGAGACCTAGAGTGAAATATCTCTGACATCTTTCAAAACATTCGGCTTAAACACGCTGTCGGGCACGCTGAATGAAGAAATGTCCTTAAACGGCCAACGCATTTTCCCCTCTGACTCAGCCTTTTACATTTGCCGTATCGGTACCAACTCCCAAACAGGGTTGGGCAGAAACTCACTGTTCTTATGTATGCTATACTACTCAACGGACAAAAATGTACAGCCCTTTATACAAACCATTTAATCATAGCTTATTTACTGTGTCCAGGGTTGGTGTCCTGCTAGAAGGTGAAACTCTACAACTGTTAAAGGATTACTTCCTCCATTCATCTCCTCATTAACTCTGAACGCTGAAGAAGATGCTTAAGGGTCCATAAGCATGCCACAGCATAATGTTTGTACCAACATGTTTTGCAGTTTGCTTCTTTATAAAATAATTCACACTCACTCAGATCACATGCAACAGAGTCCCAACCTGATGCTTCTGGTTGATGCTCTTTGTGCAGGATTGTTAGTTTAGGTGGATAGCATTGTCTTGATAGGTATGCAGCTGTTCTAAATTGATTAAAAAGAGAACTTTAACTGTGAGAGATTTTGATGCTTTTGGAGACTGTTTTCATATAGTTTTACACTTGATTTCCTTAAGGGGTAACAGATTAAATTGGGCTGAATAATAATGAAAGACACACCTTTGAGATGCTATTTGTAAAAAAAAAAAATGTGTTAAAAAATGTAGAAATCCCATAATAATAAAAAAACTCCTTTGTGTTTTTCTTTCACATGACATACTAATACAACAAAATAAAGCCTGCAATGTTGACCAAAGTCAAGAAGTATTCAATATGCTAGAAACAGAGCATGGGAAGTAATTATAAAGAGGACAAATTGAAAGCATAAATCCACTTGTTACAAATTGGGATAATGAAGACGAAGCAATGTCACAGCAACAATACATACTTCCCAGGATAACTCAACTCACCCAGCAGGTTGACCTCAATTCAAAACCTATTTGTGAAATGAGCTTTACTGGCAGATTGAATGACAGATTGGGAAGTTGGCAGTTTTTAAATTAAAACAGGATTAGAAACGCCCGTCACTGCGCTGACATGGAGAAAACCTGAACAAACAACTCCCTAACTACTCGTCTAGAGCCACATATGTAATATAGCCTCCAACGCTTCCACTACCTGCTAACCTTCAGCTGTCGACAGCATTAGAAAAGGAAAAAAAAACTCCTCCAGACTATTATCTAAATTACTGAGGTTTAGCAAAGCAGCTCCCACATGTTCCCACAAAGACACACACCTCGAAATCAGTCAGCCAGGGCGGCCCCTGCCAGCAGAGCCTCCGTTCACCCCAACTGAAAAAGCCTCATCACCTGTCAGATGCAATGCGCATCTTTCAGCTGCACATTTGGAGCTCATGGTTCTGCCAGCCTTCCTCCATTAACCCCCCAAATTCAGGCAGGGAATAACAGTAAACAGCCCTGAAGGTAAGTGGGCTGCATTAAAGAAAAGCATAAACAGGTAGCAAAGAAAATGAGTCCTGGGGAGAGAAAGGGCTAAACTTCCTGGTAAAAATCAACCCAAACTGATTCTAGCGGCTCCTTTTGTCTGCAGCCACATGCTCAGGAGATGATTGCCAGACGTGAAAGGCTCTTGTTGTTTTGATTGAGCTTTGACATGTATGAAGGAAACCTCTGCTGCTGCAGCTGAAAACAACCCCCTTTTGTATGAGTAAACTGAGATAATTTAGACTCCAAGCCGTGTTGTTATTACATAATATTAGATTGAGTAACTACAGTACAGTCGGCATACAGGCCGACTTCAAGGCTAGCCCTGGGGGTTCGAGGCCGACCGCGTGTACCTGGCTGTGGAAGCACAATCCGCAGGGCAAGGATGAAACCAGAACCTTCTCCGTGGAAGGATTACATTACAGCAACACCAGGGTGCCCTCCATTTGCTGACCATGACCTGCATCTGGGCAATCTACAGTGCATACACACATATATCAGAGCCGCACACATGGGAGCACTGTTATTCACGGCACATCATATTTTTATCTTTGGTCTGTTCTCTGGTGCAATGTCAGATGTGGCACTCTGGAGTCTGGCTGCCATCTGCAGAACAGAACAAAATGCTGAACATGCACGGCTTCTGAGCCCCTGAATAGGTTTAAATTAAACATCAACACAGGGTCGGAGTTCAGAGTTGAAGAGTTTGGCACAAGGGAAAGTTTAGGGGCAAAAAGGTCCCTCTTAGGTCAGGATATTTTACACCCCAGACAGTGTTATGGTAAACCAGCTCATCGGTGTTTGTGGGTGTCGTACCACTGCCATGAGGAGAGCGCTGGTATGTCGTCTTTCACAACATGCACCGACATTTGAGGTTTCAAACAAGTACTTAAAGAGAATTTGGTACGGTGGGAAAAAATTGTGCAAGTAAATGTAACCGATCTGCTCCAGGAAAAAGTGGCTGCCAAAAAAGGTTGCCCTCCATCACTCTTACCACTTGAAAGAGCTCGCAAACAGAGAGAAAACATAACGTACGTGCACAGAAGATGTTGTTAATCAGGGCCGAAATTCATGTTTATTGTTTCCCATGTGAGACTGATTAGGAAAGCTAAAGTAGATTGTCATGATCTGGGTAAAAATTTGAAGACTGGATTTAACCGTAAACGAGCCCAAGCTGTGTTTTCCAGACCTAAATTTGCAACATGCTTTGATTTCTACTGCTGCAGAGAAACTGCAGCCGGAAAAACAAAAAAAGAAAACAGGTAACATTAGTTACTTAAAGAAACCTGATATTTAAACATTAAAAAGGCACACAAAATATTTTATCAATATCTGACATTAAATCATACCCCGCCTTGAAGTTGAAGTCTAATAGGATTACCCATATTATTTGTATTTTAATCTTTCTGCCAAGAATATAAAATATTTATTTTAAATGTGTATTTTATTACAGTGTTTGGGATCACAAGTTTTTCTTACATGTTTTGAAATAACTTGGAAAAGTGCAGATAGTGATGTATTTACTTTGTAAGCCTTTGAAAGGTTAATTCTCAACATTCAGATTAAATCAAGCCAAACCTGTGGATGTATTTTAAAGCAGCATCTCTGACATATGGCATCTTTGTTTGATTACATCAAACCAAACCAGCTACATAATCAGGAGGAAAACCGCTGAGCTTTATCTGTTTAAACAACCACAGAGGTAGAAACACCATGGAAATGTCCGGCTATCATAAGGAGACATAACCTTGCCTGCAGACTGAATCTCTGCAGTATCTGTGAGTACACAAAAACACATGAGAAACCATCTTGTACAGCTCAAGCTTAAATTGCTGGACTCCAACCCAAAACGGGTCGGCCAATCGATTTGCAGTATTATGGTTTTAAGGCAGTCGTTCAGCTGTGATGTAATCAAGAGCAAACCAAAATAAACATGGCAGCACAGGAGGACGTAGGCGTAGCTGCTGCTATCACATCTGTTTTAACCGAATCCAGTATTTTATCTTCGAGAGAACAGCAAATGTGTAAATGTGTAAATTGTTGTGGTTTCTCATGGTATCTGCTTCTTTTACATTTGTAACCATGGCTCTAAACAAATCTGTTAGGCGGGCACTAGGTGTCACCTTGCCGAATCAGATCGAAAGGTTTTGTGGAACGTCTGTACTTTCCTTGAACAAATTTGACGGTAGCAGTCCCAGATTAATCATGTGTAG